TATGTTCACTAATAGCGTTATTTACAATGTCGACAATCAAATATGTCAATTACCTCTTCGATCTGTTTTGCTTATAATTTATGCGGCATGTTGTATCTATATAATTCCGGTGTCGTTGATTATGCTTATTTATTTAAAATTAGTTCGGTATGTAAAAGAAATGAGTAAACGTGTAACACCTATTAATGTATTAGCTCGTGCAGAAAAAGAATTAAGGATGGTTCAACGTACAGTTATACTTGTAATAATGTTATTAGCATTTGGTATTCCATATACAATAATTCTTATCATGTCATTTTTCACCAATCCACCAAAATATCATTCTCGTATTGCTTTTGTATTTATCGATGTATCATTAGTATTTGTAATGATTGCTTTATTTAAGTTTACTGATCCACTTCGAACATCTCTTATGAGAAGAGTCAATGGACGAATAAATACGGTAGTAGCAACAATGACATAAATGAAGGAAATGCGAGAAAAACAATTGAAAACTTATTTGATGTTATGTTGTATTGTATTTTGTTAAAAAATGAATATATTAAATTATGTTTTCATAATATCAAAATTAAAAGATGAATTGCTTTTGTATTTATATTATTATAATTGATGAAGGTGAAGCAGCACAAAAAATTAAATTTTAATGAATAGTACGGAGTGCAAAAAACAACTGATCCCTCGAGATTAAAATGTCACTAAGTATTTATTTATAATTATAAAAGAACTAAATTATACACCAACAGCAACCATAGTGAATATACAGTATATAAATATACACAAAAACAATTTTACATAATCTCACAATTAAAAAATTCAAATTAAACAATAGTTGTTATTTTCCATGTATGCGGATCCCTTTCGCATGATAGTGATTTTCTTTACGCTCAAAAATTAAATAACCTCCCCACATATTATCTTATTGAGTTATATATAGGAAAGATGCGCCCTAGTGGAACATCTTGTAAGTAAGATCTTGACCAAGATACAAGGTACAGAAATGTTAATAGATCTTGAAAATTTAGGTACAAGATAATATGATTATCTTGTACCAAGATCTTGAATCAGATCTTGAGTACATACTAAGATAAAACGTGTTGCATGCGTCGTGATTTACGACACAATGTATAATACATTTTGAAAGCATAGTTTGAACCTATCAAATAGCGCATTTATTATTTTTTTTATGTAAAACCATGTTATAACATTTTTTCAATTTATTTTCATTTCAATCATTCCTATCCCAAATAACTGAAGCAAGTCAGATCTTGGAATCTGTCTGACCTTGAGATGATTCGATCGCCACCAGATTGCTTCAGGGTAGTTCTCTCTCAATCATCGATCGAGATCAGCATGTTTTTGGATGATCAACACTCGAGAAATAGTTTAAAAAAAAACTATGTTGAATATATATGTTTTGTATGTTCAATCACGTTGTTTATATATGGCTCTATCTACATTAAAAAACGGCGAATGACTGGTCAGCATGTAAACACTGATGATGTCGCTCTTCTACTCAAAATCTTGTGAGAAGATCATAGTAAACAATATCTTATCTATGGTCTTGACAAGATCTTAAGTACAGACTTATCTGCTACAACCAAGATATTCATGCACAAATTGTCTTTTCAAGATCTTATGAAGATCTTGCTTACAAGATGTTCCACTAGGGATGTATATTAGTAATAAGGATATCTCAATATCACAATAGATATTGAGATTATATGTACAAAATGACTTCTATTATCGATGTAATAAAGAATTATAGTCGATCATAAAGCTTGCCAGGATCATAAAAAAAATTGGCGATTTATCGCATTTCATCTCACGATTATTATTTCGATATATTGCGATCCATCACCAATTCTTCACCGATTTTAAGGACATGGGATAGATATGATAGTTTTGAATATAATATCGTTACAGTGTTATAGCTCATGATTTCTTAGATGGTTTTAGAATTTACAAATCACCTGCTGTTTTCTAGTTATATGTAATA